CGTTTTTTTTATATATATATATATATATATATATATATATATATATATATATATATATATATATATATATATATATATATATATATATAATAGAGAGAGAGACCTCACTGCCTATACCACTCTCCTTCTATACTAGGGTAATATCTAGGTAGTTTGTAGAGTACTGAAGCCCGATATAGGAACTGGATTCCGTACTTCAATTTGTAGTGATCAGATCTCTTTTGTGAGTACTTTCCTATCAGTCTAACTTTAATACATTATTTAAGGATGTGCTTGATCTTCATACCGTGAGAAACGCGATGGGAGCAGTGGATCTTTTGTTTTTACAATGTTTGAAAGATCTGAAGCAGCTGAAAGGAGAGGTACATTTTTGTGTTTTTCAGGGCTGCAAAAAATACTTCATTTTCTGGGACTGCAAGGCCAACGAAAAAAATTCCTCTGCAAGTAAACAACTGGCAATCGTATGTTTTTCTAAATTTCACCGGTACTGGTTGGTCTTTGTTTGTGGATGAATAGTGTAGCAGTTTAGGCTGGTAACCACCAAAATCCAAATTAAGACTAATAAGTAATTATTGGATGAGGCTGAGCATGATATCAAGAATTATTCAGACCGAGGTCAATGTTATCTGCCGAAGCGAAGCTGAGGCGGTTAACATAGACCCAGGTCTGAATAATTCTTGATATCAAGCGAAAGCCGAATCCAATAATTGTTTTATTATACATTTAAAGACATGAGAAACGTATAAAACGATTCCTGTTCATGAGGTAGGAAAAGTACAATTTCAATATCAAACACCTTGCACAAAATCAAAGGTCAGCTAAATATTCTATTTCTACTTCTATTTACCCCTTTGTGGCTTTTTTCGTGCTTTCACTATCCTTATCTGCCAATAATTTGGAGAGTTCACTTTCATTAGGCGAAGCAAATCTGCTGTAGGCCATTGTTTGTTTGTTTTTTTCGCGCGCTTATAGCACAGAATAGGAAGTTATACCAGAAGCGTAACTCGAGCAAATATTTGTCCGCGTTTTTACAAGCGATTCGTCATCAATCACGCCATCCTGGCTAGTACAACCGGCACTTTGTACCTACCAAATCCTGATAAAACTTCCGGCTGTACTAGCCAGGATGGCGTGGCCTGACGTGAGCGAGTTAAAAATTTTCGTGGACGTCAAACAATAAGGGAAACGACTAGAGTTACGCTTCTGGTATAACTTCCTATTCTGTGCTTATAGGTTCAAGCTTTTGGCCGCGCAAGGGTTTGGGCACGAGAGAGTCCAATAATTTTTATTTTGGATGCAAGTTCGATCCAAAAAAAAAAATTATTGGACGCCGATGACGTCATCGGCGGAAAATACGTAATAAATGCCGAATACTGAAAATTAGCCGGTGCTTTCTGACCAATTAGAAACGAGAATACATATTAAATGTATAATAATTTATATTATCCTGGAATTTAGCTCTCGGTATAAAACACGCGCGCTAGACTATAACGGTGATGTTATGATTTTGTTTGTGCTTAAATTATCACTAAAATATCTTGAAAATCATTGTAAGCCTGTTTATATAAAGCATACAAAGCATATACATCGACAAGGAACCGCAAAACTCAAAGTTTAAACTTCGTGACCAAATGACATAAAACTGACATGTCAACTGTAGCATTTTCGTCCTTGGTCGCGTAATTTTGAAAACGGGTGTAAGCTTTCACGTGAGAATAGACTTTGTTTCAACTAGTCACCCTTTGGTACAAACTTGCAGACCATTTGTCCTGTTGAAATTTGTTGATTATATCTTCGTAATTCAGCTGGACAATTATATAACAGATATAACTCCAGGTATATATTCATATCAGTTACACTGACGTGTTTACGTCATTCGTTCCCAGGTTTTATACGTCTTCCTCCTGCACCAAAACGTTGAAGAAGGCAAAGCTCACGTGACCTCAGTGGCGCATTTTATCCTAACGCAACCTCTGCTCAGTTTTGTCATATCTGAAGCGAAGATGTTCAAGGCATCAGTGAGGGATAGTATGGATCAAAATGGCGATAGAGAGGGACACGAGCAGGATGATGGGGGGCATGAAGACGGCGAAGAAGACAAGATTCCAACCATTAGGATCAAACTTCATTGTATTAACCCAAAGTAAGATTCTTAATTTATCTCAAAGGCTGAGGTCCAGTGTAGGTAGTATTCTACAATAAGCTGCCTTGTTTTTTGTGTGAACTACCTGAAAAATATATATCGAAGTGCAGGTCCAGTGTAGGTAGTATTCTACGATAAACTGCCTTTTTTTCTTGTCGGAACTACCTGAAAACGATATCTCAAAGTGCAGGTCCAGTGTTGGTGTTATCCTACAATAAGCTTCCTTGTTTTTTGTCTGAACTACCTGAAAAAGATATCTCAAAGTGCAGGTCCAGTGTAGGTAGTATTCTACGATAAACTGCCTTTTTTTCTTGTCGGAACTACCTGAAAACGATATCTCAAAGTGCAGGTCCAGTGTTGGTGTTATCCTACAATAAGCTTCCTTGTTTTTTGTCTGAACTACCTGAAAAAGATATCTCAAAGTGCAGGTCCAGTGTAGGTAGTATTCTACGATAAACTGCCTTTTTTTCTTGTCGGAACTACCTGAAAACGATATCTCAAAGTGCAGGTCCAGTGTTGGTGTTATCCTACAATAAGCTTCCTTGTTTTTTGTCTGAACTACCTGAAAAAGATATCTCAAAGTGCAGGTCCAGTGTAGGTAGTATTCTACGATAAACTGCCTTTTTTTCTTGTCGGAACTACCTGAAAACGATATCTCAAAGTGCAGGTCCAGTGTTGGTGTTATCCTACAATAAGCTTCCTTGTTTTTTGTCTGAACTACCTGAAAAAGATATCTCAAAGTGCAGGTCCAGTGTAGGTAGTATTCTACGATAAACTGCCTTTTTTTCTTGTCGGAACTACCTGAAAACGATATCTCAAAGTGCAGGTCCAGTGTTGGTGTTATCCTACAATAAGCTTCCTTGTTTTTTGTCTGAACTACCTGAAAAAGATATCTCAAAGTGCAGGTCCAGTGTAGGTAGTATTCTACGATAAACTGCCTTTTTTT